TACATAAGAAACTGGCAGGGGCTGGCCCGGTGGCGCACTGCTACAGTGCGCCGCTTGGGAACACAGCGGCGCTCCTGCCGAGGGTTCGGATCCCACATACAGACCGGTTCCCGCTCACTGGCTGAGCGAGGTGCGGACGCGGCACTGAGGGTTGCGATCCTGTTGCCGGTCCCGGTCCGGTACGGGCGCGACACTGAGGGTTGCAATCCGTTGCCGGACACGAAAAAAGACAAAAAGGAAAAAAAAAAAAAGAAACTGGTAACCATGGTTGCTTCTAAAGAATGGAACTGGTGGCAGAGACAGCAAGAAATGTTACTTTTACTGTACGTGCATTATCTGTTACAGTCAATTTTTATAAAAAGAAATATACATAAAGATGTTCATCGTGTTCTATATGCTAGACAAAAGTCACCACTGGAATGACCTAATGGTAGTCAGTCCAGTATTAGGAAAAGAATGTAAGAAATTTAAGTAGGGGCCGGCCCGGTGGCGCACTGCTATAGTGCGCCGCTTGCGAGCGTGGTGGCGCTCCCGCCGAGGGTTCGGATCCCACATACAGACCGGTTCCCGCTCACTGGCTGAGCGAGGCGCGGGAGCAACGCCGAGGGGTGCGATCCCATTGCCGGTCCCGGTCCGGTATGGGGGCAACACTGAGGGTTGCGATCCATTGCTGGACACGGAAAAAGACAAAAAGGAAAAAAAAAAAAAAGAAATTTAAGTAAATCAGCAAGCATGCATTTAAAATGATTCTGTGTTATAACACCAAGGTCAGGGGTTCAGATCCTCATACCAGCCAGATGCCAAAAACCAGAACAAAAAACAAAAAACAGATAAAATAAAACAAGATATTTCTGAAGACTTGGACAAATGCTTTTGATATGGTTTCAAGAGAAAATAGCAGGTCCCATTAAAAGAACTCTTTGACTAGAACTGTAAAAATATGTATATTCATTATACATACTACATTACAGTTTCAATGATAACAGAATTATGGGCTATTTTTTGAAATGCTACTATTGCAATGATATGTAAATTCTTTTTAGTCTTAATTAAATTGTAATGAAGCTACGTTAAATAACTTCCAGTCTTTTTTTTTTTTTTTTGTGGTTGGCCTGTCTGGGGATCCAATCATGTGACCCTGGTGAACTTCTAGCCTTTAGACCCAGAAAAAAGATACACATTACTTCCCAGGACATTTAAACAACTCTCAGGGAAAAGATCAGCAATCTTTGAGAATTCATGAGAATAGAAGAAATATCAGAAGACTGGAGATAGGGCTGGTCAGTGAGCTCAGCTGGTTAGAGTGCAGTGCTGCAACACCAAGTTCAAGGGTTTGGATCCCCATACCAGCCAGTGCATAAACAATCAAAAAAACCCAGAAAACTGGAGATGGACAAACATCCTCAACTTCAAATACAGAAAAAAGAACAGGCTTTGGAAAGTTAGCTGGCTTTCATTACTGACAAAATTCCAGAGATTATTCAAGAAAGTGGTGAGCATTAGAAACCAACAAGGATTCACTCAGAACAATGCAGGACAGACTATGTAAATTATCAAAAGCAATATTTTTAAATCTGTGAAGTTGGGTTTTTCTTAACCTTGTTGGCTAAAATCTCAGAGTATCTGAGAGTTTGGGTTGCAAAGGGAGTGCTGGTGGGGAGAGAGAAGCCAAGCGACCTGTGCTTCAGACCTGCCTGTCCTCAGTCCCCAAACCTGCTCTCGACATGGCTCAGGAGGAATTGATTCTTCTTTGCAGGAAGGCACTGCCAATATCTTTCAACAGAGCTGGGAGATAAAATGCAGGGCTAAGAAAGTCATCAGGAAGGTAAGCACCTGGTTCCTGTGCAGAACACCAGGCCCACTCAAATGTCACACGGTGTTAAGGCTGATCTTGGATTATTATTCTTAATCAAAGGAAATTATGTGCAAATGTTGTGAAAACTATAAAGAGTTGCACAAAAGAAAGGTGGTATAATTACCATCATCATCATCATTATTATTATTATTTTGAAGGCACTGAGGATTCTCTGATGCAAATTGATATAGATAACAAATACCAAGAAGCAAGGCAACCCCCCCCCCCCCCCAAAAACAAAAGAGAGATCCTAACAAGAAAGAGCTAAAACTCCCAAACTATTAAGATGAAACCTAAGTTCTGTGCTGCTACACGAGCCTAGGCTGAGAAAGATCAGAGTTAATGCAATCTCATGAAGATGACATGTTGGGTTTGGTGACCATGGTCTTGAGACAGAAGTATGTTATGTCCACTAAAAGCCTGAATGCATCACTGTAAGTTCTGTAGAAGAACAGCATACATCTGTCCCCTCTTTTGGTTAGAGTGTACAGGCCCGATGCTTTTGGAAGAATTTAGAGAGCTACTTAAAATAACTGTAGAGATTATAAAATGAAATACGTAAATTTTAACAAGTTTTACATCTCCATTTTTCGTGAAAATCGGAAGCCGTACTTTCTACAGAGTATTTTGTTATTCATCTGTTATTCAGACTATGTATTTGTGATTTGAACAAATAAATGTGCATATTCTTGTTATAGTAAAAAAAAAAAAAAGGAACAAGTAGAAGAGAGAAGATGGCCTTAGCCTGGCATTCTCCTTCAGGTTTATTGGAGAGATGGGTTAGCCCAACATCTCTCCTCAGGTCACCAGTATTCCTAAATTAAAGATGACTTCCTTTTTCACCAAAAAAAAAAAAAAAGAATGTACAAGCCTGCTGGGTTGCACTGTAGGTGCCATGCTTGAGACACGTGCCAAACGGAGCAATCAGCATGCCTGATTTTTGTCACATATGGAACAGATAAAGTAGCTATTGATTTTTCAGCCAAAAAAGGAAAATGCACTCTATGAAGGAATAAACAATCACACTGAGGAGCAAGCTGCATGAACAGGCATGAGATAAACTGAGTTTTATTCACTAAGAAAATGGGCCTCTCTGCAAGGAAGAGCACCTACGGGATGGACTGTCCAGCTAACAGAGTAGTCCCTTCCCATCAATGGAAGTGTTCAAAGTGAGGATTGATAACCGCACGTCAGGAATATTACTCAGGAGGGAAGACAGGCTTGTCTGCCCGAAGGTCCCACTTAACCGTAATAACCTGGGATTCCAACTGGCTTGGCAGTTGCACTATGATAGCAGTAGCTTAATGAGACAGGCCAGAACTGTACCTAGTGGCTCTTCTGTCTCCCTTCCTCACCTAGCACCCAGGGATAGAATAGGGCGTGTATTGTAGGGGCACGGACATGCTGAAAGATACACGCTGAATGATTAAGACATAGCATGAGGCTAATTTGCAAGAGGAACATCATGGTATGGAGCAGGGAAGACGGTACAAAAGGCAACTTCTCATACCCTGAACTTGCATCTATTGACAGGTGAAATCTTCTTCCACTTCTGCATCTACTTGTGAACAAGGCGGGTGTGCACCTGATCGCTGGAACTCCTGCACCCATCCTCGTATACATTCCACATTTGTACATCTGATACAGCATCCAACATACACAGCCAACGGAAGAAAAAGTCTGCCTGAGTGCATGCCAAATGTGCTTGAAAAGCTCTCTAACGCATTCGTTATGGAATGGAGCACTGTGGAAGGACAGCCCTTTATTTAGACCTTATTGTCTGTGAAAATCGGTATGTCCTTTTTCCCCATCACTTTGCAAGGCAGTAGGGAAGGCTAAGCCAGACAGTTCCCACAGGACAGTGCCTTTCTGGCCAGACTGGTACAAGATTAAAACGATGGTTGTGATGATGTAAGACTGTCATCTTACACACCCATGAACTACAACTGTTCACTAACAGTGACTATTACAACCTGCTGACTATTATAACCTGCCAAATTTCATTCTCACATTTACACAAAGCATTTTACGACTCTGCCTGGAAGAGGGAACAAAGTCTACAGTTACTTTGAAATGTAAATTATTTAAAACACAAGAAGAGGCAAAGCACACATTGCTCAACAAGCTGGCATATGACATCTCTTACATGTTAGGAACAATGGAGAATTACAGGTGTCTAAGGCACTGACTGTCTAACCTTGCCCATTCTCTATCTTTAGGCTGCCACACATCACCTCTCACAAACACTCCTGCCACATTCCAAATGAGGTAACACCTCTGCCAGGTGAGCTGCCTGGACACAGGGCTAGGCACGTCCAGCTCGAGCTCACCAGGGTCCCAAAGACTCAGATCAAAGTAGCTGCTGAGCAAGAGCAGGGGTGGCCTGGGAATACACTGACCTTCCATACACTAATGATATTTACTAAAGTCCTGAGACAACATTGGAGGGAACTGGAGTGGCAAAGTCTAAAGTCAAGTATCTTTGGAGAGGACTGAGCAGGAGAGTGAGTGGGGTGGGAAAGGGAATTTGCAAAAGCTCTTTGCTTCTTCGGCTGTAACTTAGTTCTTCAGCTGGCTTTAGTGTGTGTCCAAACCAAGTGTGGAGTGGCTGAGGTCTGCCAGAAGGAGGAACATCTGGGAATAAGATGCTATTTTCATGGATAGATTTCTTCGTGGGAGACGCAGGGACAACCAGCTGGGCAGAAGAACTGAGCCGTGGTCCCAACAGAGGCGAGTCCTCCATGGCCTGCTGGTGACATGTCATTGGCCTCACCCTCTGCGTGGGCCACCCCCGAGTGAGGCTGACATCTCACATGGTGGGGGAGGGGCACCCTTTCCATACATGTACTGGGACAGGAGTTTAGGTGCCAACTAGAAGAGTCTGGATGCGCTGTCGCTGCGGAGGGCGGCAAAAAGCCTTCGCTTCACACCCAAGCAGACCCACTCCTTTGGAGGATGGAAGGATATTAAGCCATCCAAATGCATATACACACAGATTAGCACCACTTTGGGGACTTCAGGTCCCTCGCTGGCTCGAGTTAGAGCCTTGGTGTGCATGGAGAGGGACAGAAGGAAGGGTGGAGGCGGCCGTGGGGATGAAGGGCTCGCGACAAGGACACGGGGTTGGGGCGGACGCGGCCCTTACCTTGCTGACCACGTTCTGGACTAGGCCGGTGCGGATGCCGTAGTCCCACGCGTGGCAGTCGCAGTTGGAGGCATTGTCCCCCTTGTCCGGAGGGGACGGCAGGGGTGGCGTGTCGCCCCCATCCGCGCCGCTGCTGTTGCTTCGGTTGCCCGCAGCCCCCCAGGCGGCAGTGGGGAAGGGGGTCGCGGTCGGGGGGCTGGTCCAGTTGCCCACGTAGCCCCACCGGCCGGTGGCGAGGACCCCAGCCTGCTCGGCGCCCTTGCCGGCCCCGCGGCACCAGAAGTTGGGCTGGTCCAGGAGGAAGGAGTCCGAGAACTGGCTGAAGCCGATGAACAGCGCCGGGATCCAGGTGAGCACCACGAGGGTCTTCTGGTAGCTCCCGCCCAGGCCCCCGAGGAAGGGCAGCACCGACCCGTCGTAGTCCAGCAACAGGAGGCTCGGGGCCGCCGCCGCCGCCGAGCAGCA